ATGCTAAATGTTGCATCTATCAAACCGGGGGCCTGTGTTTTGCCATATGATGAGAATCATGGAGCCTGCACAATAAAAATAAAGTAAATCAGCAATGGTAGGTGTATTTCTACCCTGACAGATTTGTTTTAAAATGGGATTTACCCCCCCAAAAAAATCTCCCAAAGAAGTCAGTACACAAATAGAGATGCAAGGCCTTGTGATTATGGATACCTAAAATGACCCTTTCAGCACAGGGTCACTTCTATTCAAAAGTATAAATGCTAAAAGTGGAGCACTATACTTCCCTTTCAGGCTGCCTGTGTCTTCAAACGCCGCTGAGCCCCAACAAGTAAATATTCCATGCTTCTTGGTGTGTGTTGAATACCTTCCTCTTCCTTCCCAAACTCACACTGTTATCTCCTCATTGTTGGCTAAATGGGTAATATTGAACACATGGTATTACAAAGGCCCCTTTCACACAATTGCTTTTTGAACAGCAGGGAATCAGCCCACAGATCTTCTGCTGATCAGATCAAAGCAAAGGGATGATGCATCAGTGTCTGCCCAATTTCTGCAGAGCGGACATGGACAGAGCTCACTCTGCTTAATGGGCAACAGGGAGTAAACAGACTCCGCTATCCATTTTACACCCAACTGCCCCCTGATCAGCCTAAATTGAAGAGGATGGATCCCCTTCCATTATTTTCTTTTTAGTGAACCGGATTGGACCCGGAGGTAGGTGGGTGCGTGTGGGCTTTATTTTCTAAAGTTGTTCACTCCGAATCTTGTGCATTTCTCATTTACTTCTGCATGGAAACCATGCTTACAGCTTACAAGTTTTACGTATTGCTAAAGCCTAAATGAACAAGCTGAGGTTAGAAGCTGATTGGCTACCATGAACAGGTGCACCAGATTCTGAGTGAACTAGCTTTAGTAAATCTCCCCCAAATGACAGAAGTCCGATTACAGCTTTGATCCATCCATTCTGTCAAATATGTGCAGTGGCTGGGGAGCAGCAGAGTGGTGGCGTTTCAAAGACATGGCTGCTTGACAGATAACTATTTTCCCTCTTCTTTTAGCAGTGACCCTGAGCTTTGCCCTTTCAGGACAAAGAAACAAGTTTGCTTTAATCCCCCTATGCCCAACAGCACGTGCTTACCTTTCATTTCTTCATACACCACTACATTTTGTACCAGGAGCCAAATTAATTCTCCAGTAATTCCAGGTATAGAGGAGCATGTGATGGCACTTGGCCAATCAGTGTTGTTACATAGGGAGTTCATAGTTCTGTGTAAGCTACTCGGAGCCTACACAGGGCTTTCCCATCACTCCCAGCAGTTGGACAGAGAACCAGGGGAGCAAAAGAAAGTTTCAATATAAAGGAAAGGCTATTCTTTATGGCAGTAGCAGCATGTTTCTTCCTTATGATGTTCGTAAAACAACATGTTAACATTACACTTAGTTAGTATGGACAGCAAGAACACTCCAGTATATTAATAGTTTGTTTTTTCACTTTTTCTAACCAGACACTTCATTTTAGGGAGCAAAGGACGTTATTACTTAATAAGTTCAGACATTGGCCTCAAGTTCAATAAAGATAAAGAACATGAAAGAGAAGATAGATCCCCTTCGGAGCAGAGAGAGTGGATGACACATGTGTCTGCTCAGTTCTGCAGAGCGGACACAGACAGAGCCCGCTTTGCTCTACTTGCGGCTGGGAGTAAACTGACTCCGTTGTCCATTTACACTTGACTGCCTTCAGATCTGATCTGCCTAAATGAAAGAGGAGGTAGGCAGGTGTAAAGAACACAAGTCCATTTACATTTGCCTGTCCATAGGAATGCATGGACTTTCCATTTAGGTCCTCCTGAAAAACTGACAGGTGGACCTGATCTAATCACCCGTGGCATAGGGTCCTAAGAGTAGAAGAAGAGACAATGTTATAAAAGTTTAGGCCAAAGTAATATAGACTGCAAAAGTTAACATTTTCATGAATTTCTGTCATATCAGAGCTCAGGCATTAACAGTGGAAGGAAGAAAAGCTGGGTATATACTAAAAGAATTGTGAATGAAAATGAATGTTGTTCAAAAGATTTTGCTTGCTTTTACCAAATGAAAAACACCTTAGAAATTTGAACACTTGAGAAAAATTTTCCATCTTGCTCCTTTCAATTTTTTCATTATTGTGGTCGAAAAGTGAACATTGATTTGAACCCAGTAATGATTACAAAAACAAGTGTTACTACAACAAAAATGTAGAACAACATTTTACTAGTGTATACCTAGCTGAAAACATCTGAAGTTATTTTGGGGATCAGGAAATGGCCCTATGTTCCGAGTGTAGATTGGAACAGGTTTAACATTTGGTCTGTTGCTGTTGGCAGCACATTAATATTCATGTTTCACATATTGGTTTTGGGTTTGGACACACTCTAGGTCTAAAGGCTCCATATACAGATAATCCTGATGTACATAGAGTGAGTGTAAATGTTGAAGATCTCTGCCCAGTTTATATAAATTTCAATAAAATGCTCTCGTCTTCTTTAAAGCTGTAACCAAAAATGACTGTTTAGAGACAAAGAGATCTGCTCATCCTTATTTCAGTAAGTCTGAGTGCACTTAAATATTTAGTCTTTATCTTAGATTTCGCATAAACAAAACAGTGTGCCATGAACTTCAAAGCTGTATCTGCAGTGTGAGATCAGCTAAGGCAATGTTCCTCTGACTGCTAGTTTCATGAGATTTGGGGTGGGTTTTGATGATATCACGAATGTGCTGGTCCTTGTTCTTCCTGTATAGCAGTGGTCTCCAAATGGTGGCCTGGGGGCCAGATGCAGCCATTTGCTTGCCTTTTTCTGGCCCTTGAGGCACTTTTTCTGCCACTGACACCAGTGATGGAGCCCTATTCCTCCCACTGATCAACAATGGGGCACTATTCCTCCCAACAATACCAGTGATGGGGCACTATTCCTTCACAGGACACAATGACAGGGCACTATTCCTTCCACTTACACGAATAATGAGGCACTATTCTTCTTACTTACACCAATGATATGACACTGTTTCTTCCAGTGACACCAATGATTTGGCACTATTCCTCCCACTGACACCATCAACAGGGCACTATTCCTCTCTCTGACACAATTGATGGGATACCATTCCTTCCAGTGACAGCAATGACGGGACACTATTCCTCCACTTATACCAAAGATGGGACACTAATTCTTCCACTGACACCAGTGATGGGACACTATTCCTCCCACTGACACCAACGATGGGGCACTATTCCTTCCTCTGATACCAATGATAGGGCATTTTCTGCTCCCACTGTGTAAGGAATTCTCTAGAAAGTTGTTTCAACGTTGTTTGTTATATGTGCATATCTCTTCACCAACACTTGTATGGTCTCACCTTTTTCTTTGCCCCAGGTAACATGCACTTTTCCCCTTTAAGTAGGGTCTTCTACCATGGCTGTTAATCCTCTCTCCAGCATACAAATATTCAATAAGCCACCTCCCTCCTATAATCAACGTTGGTTTGGAACATTTAGCTGACATATGGCAACATCAGACCTGGGCCAATGCAGACACATTAGAATGGGAGATCACTCAACCCAGCACTGCCCGCATGCTGACGAGGTGTTGCTATAATTGCATCTAGTACAAGACAAAAGGGAATTTGCAGTGAGTGCTTCTCCCCCTATGATTCTGATTTCATTCTGTGGCTCTGTGCTTTCAGCACCACTTCTTTTTATATATTAAACCTCCAGTCATCACGGTGCCAGCTCTGGCATAATATAATTGATGGCCCTGCCTCTAGATTAGTGGTGCTCTACTTTCATGATACAGGATGCATCTAATGCTGCCCCTTACATCAACAAACAACCACACATCATTTTTATTGAATATAATACTATAGAAAGAGACTGCAGACCTGCACTAGGAGATGGACAAAGCCTATGAGCATGCAACAAAGGATGGTCAGAGACTGCAGACATGCTGGGAGGGATGGTCAGAGATTGCAGACATGCTGTAGGAGATGCTGGAGGCTAAGGACATGCTTTAAGAGACTGAATACATATTACATAAGACTGATAGAGATCACTGCTATTACAATCTCTTTACAATTTAGTGCTTTCATATTTGTGCCCCCTACAGTTCACTTAAAATGTATTTGAGCCATATTTGATATTTACCTCAGCAAAAACTATTAAAAAAAGAGTAAAGGGACTGCACAGAAAGAAAAAAGATAATGTGAAAGAAACAGACCAAACCATTTAACCACCAAAAACCAGACAAAATAATATTTTTCCTTCACCGCCCTGAGGAAGCACCTAAGTAAAAAAATAAAGGACTACTATCTACAGAGACACCGAAGGCCACACAGTAAATGCCTAACGGCCTAGATGATGGGTGCCCCTACACAAGGACACACTGCACAATGAGGCATGGTAAGTCTGTAATGGAGAAAAGACCAACTATAAGGAGCCTACAGACAATACTAGTCACCAGTCCTTTGATCTCTGCTTGGGCACACAATTCCACAATTCTGGTCCTCTTCAAGGCTAGAAATGGGTAAAAAATTATATGTCTGAAAAGGAGAACCAGACAAACAACTTCTTTCAACACTTTAGTGTAATTAGACTAAGATTAGTTGATTTCTGGCTGCTGAGGGTTCCAGGAAATCATTTACTATTTCCATTATTTTTATATTATTATCTCAATAAGTTAATTAGCTCAATGTAAAATGTGCAGAATGAGTAAAAGGTTGTTGAAGGCAACACATGGTGCAACACATGCTGCATGCCTCTTTAAGACAGGAGGTGGAGTAAAATGTCCCTCCATATAAAAGGTCCTGCATGGCCATTTTTAGGGCAGTAAGATCAGTAAGAAGAAGAGAACAAGTGAACTCGAGGATTGAGATCCCTCGAAATACCATCTGCAATCCTCCCTGCCTCTCCCCCCTTATCTCCTAACACCATATAGCAGGGAATAAAAGAACGCTAAGGAATTGCAGCCATGAGTGAAGTAACAGCTGAAGAACCAAAACCCAAGGCTGCTGGGAGTGAACCAAACACAGCTCCGTCTGGTACAGGAGAAGTAGAGAGGAAAGTACTGGGTGAGTAACAATAAAGTTTTATGATTGTGACCTATGATGAAGCTAAAATCCTTCTGTGCCTTATATTTCTTCCCAGTTCTCACTGCTCTACTCTGCCTAATGTTCCTGTCATGGTCTATTTTTGTCCTTGCTGATTCTATGTCTGTTCCACTGTGCCCATATTCTGTGACAAACTTTCCTTCTGTATAAAATTACCCAATTATCTAAAAATTGTTTGTACTTTTTGTTTTTGTAAACCTTCATAACTTTTTTCATAGCTTAAACTTTGGATAAACAGTATTTGTGAAGATACAATGAGTTTTTTTATATTACATTTTTAACATGCCCTGTAGCAATACAGACAGTTCATCCTTAAAATATATGTAAAGTCAATTAATAAGATCCCATATACAGTAATCTTTTAACATGCTAATGTAATTTTCAGTCATCTACAGCTTTCAGTATAATAATACCTGGTGATCCTGGGATGAAGGTTCTTGTTCAAAATGTCACAACACTCTATCACTGTCTCCCAATTGCTCTTCTGCAATGTCATCCTGCTTCTAGTGGAGACTTCATGTGGCCATACCGACCCACAATGAGCAAGCAGGGTCCACCTTGTCATTATCAATAATCTGGTTCAGAATGAAGGTTTGCGGTTGACACTGGAGTGAATGCATGTAGACAGGATGTGGCTAAAAAAGCCAGATAGGATCAGAAGTACCGAAATACAAAATGAAGAAAAATACAAGAGAAGCCAATTGTATTTCACACACAGACCAAAAGCCAACTAAATGCCATACAGTTAAATCTATTTTAAGACAGATTTCTGAGTGAAATCCAAATCAAAGAACTAATTATTTAAGTTTAGAGAAAAGGCACAGATTAGAATCGCCAGTAAGATCTATTGTTGAAAGGTGTCTAGATATGTTTCTCAAGGTGCTCTATCTTGGCCAGTACAAGAGGGACGCACTTCTTTCTGAATTTGTATTTAGTAAACAGTACAGAGCAATTGATAGGAAATGGACTCTATGGCAAGAATACTAAGGAAGAACACTAAGGTAGGGGTTTAGGTGGAATAACTGATTGTGATAATAATCTCTCTCTCAGATCCTTTTGAGATCTGAGATGCATGTTGGTGATTCAGTCCATAAATATTAACCTATCCCCATAATGAGTGTTAAAAAGGCACACAAGTCAGGGCAGTAACCAGTCATGATGTATAAAAATGGCAACTTTTTACAACATACAAAATGATTGGACATAACTGGTTGAGAGTTCAAAGCTAATGTTAAGATGGCCTGCTATGTGTCAGTGAAGATACAAATAAATATCATTTCATGGTCACTGAGTGCTGGTGATTTAATCAGGATCATAAACCAAATGCGAGTCTTTTGGCACCTTTAGACCTCTGAAGACATTGCTGAGGATATAGTCTTGGGTGAATCTCTCCAGTTCCTAACTATTGATTCCTCAATAATAAGTATGGTCTGAGCCTGTTATTCTAAGTGTCAGTGGGACAGTAATTGAAAATACTTAACTACAAACCTGCTCATGAGGTCTTCATTATACAACCTTGCCTGTTGGCCCCTATTCATTCCTATAGATGTGTCTGCACATGCACTCCAGATAGGGTACAGAGCCTTTCATAAAAATAAATAAGGACTGGAGCACTCAGTTATGCCTGGTGCAGGGCCTGGACAGGACTGGGTGATGCCAGGCAGAGTTGCACAGCAGAGAACCCAGGAAGAAAGCTTCCTTGAAGGAAACCACTAAAAGTGAAGCCGTTCTTAAAGATTCAGAATCCTGTGATTACGTTTTTATTGTGTGGGGCAGGAGTAACTCAATTTCCTGTCTAGCCCAGGAAAGGTCACACAAATGGATGAAAGTATATTTTGTCGCTCCGGCAGTGGTTACCTCTAGCTTCTTTTGCAATTGAAGAAGAAATATTTTAACTAGTTAATAAACAATAAAAATGCATTCCTAAATAAATAGCTTGTCTGGTCTCAAACCTTAGGTAAAATATGATTCACAGCATTAATTTGCATTCCAGGACAGGTTCCAAAAATACTGTAGGATTTCGCTGTATTTATTGCTCAATCTTTTGGCCAGAATTGGTTGCAGTAAACAGACATGTTTATGACTTGACTCTTTTACAATCAAAGTATAATTATATTAATAACTCAAAAGTAATCTTTTTTTTGTAGCAACCAAAGTACAAGGAACAGTGAAATGGTTCAATGTGAGAAATGGCTATGGATTCATAAACCGGTAAGATTTGAAATAGTACAAATGTAAATCTTGTGCCATGCCATATCTGTACAAAATCTAATAACGTATCTGTTCATACACACCTGCTGGTTATTCAACATTGAATGCTGGTTGGTTAACTAAGGGTGGACAGCATGTACCTCTCAGAGAGTTCCCATTTCTGGGACTTTACATACAAAGGTTTTATGGCCAGTAGATATGAAACTGGAGGGTTATTCAACCATGCTTAAGCGTTCACTAGTGTAGTTATTACACTGTTCTGTATTGCTAATACATTTTATATCAATGCTACTTAATTAAATCTTTAAGGAGCTTCGTCCTCCCATAGTTTTTACTTCATTGCAATAGACACTGCTGAATTAATTAAAGTATGATGTCCTGGAGAATTTAAAATGGACATGTACTTGAAAACAGGAAGAACTGTACATAATGCTTTTAGATTCATAATTTGTTGATTAATAATATTCTCCATATTATTTTTATAGGAATGACACTAAAGAAGATGTTTTTGTCCACCAGGTGAGAGTGTTACCACTTGTGACTGAATGTTTTTGGGGTTTTATTATTTATGCCAGCTCCTATGCTTAAGCCTGAAGATGCATGTCCATCTATAATTCTGTGTAGATGCACTAATAATTCTTTTCATAACTGTGGAGCAAATATATATATATATATATGGAGGATAGAAGTATGTTTTTGATGCCCAAAGGAGATGGTCAGTTTTCTGCTTTTGTTTTTTATAACCTACAGAGGAAGAATGACACCTGGAATCATGCTGGTTGACATGAAATTTAGCCACTTATTCCATTACACTTTCATAAATCAAACATTATATCATTATATAGCCACCTCTGTCTCATTTGTTGTTTTGTACAAAAAGACATACCTCCTGAGACCCAGTTTGTACAGACAATATGGCAACTTGCTGACTCAACAAGATCCACAGGCACTGCCTGACTCAGCAATTGTAGCCTATTAGGGCTACATTCACACTGAGCTGATCATTTTTCAGTGGCTTTTTTTTTAGGTGTTTTTAAGCATGTTTTGAGCATATTTGCAAATATTATAGGCGTTTTTTTCAGGTGTGTTTTATTTAGGTGCTTTTGCTGTGGCTAATAGAAATAGAAATAGCTGCTGTTTGAGCTGAAAATGTCTGAAAAAAGTCTTGAAAAAACACTCATTCCCACTGTTCAGGCATTTTCCATTCAAGTATATGAGGACAAAACACTCGAATCTGCCTGAAAAGTAGTGCAAGTACTTTTTTGAGAGACAGGCATTTTGCTACAGGCGAGAGAACACTCAAGAGTGAACAGGGGCCATTGGAAATAATAGGATTTTACTTGTTGAGTGTATCTGAGCGTCAATCTTCGAGCTGAAAAACGATCAAGTGTGAAAAGAGTCTAAGTCTTGCACATACAAAGGATGTGATTCCTTATCTTTCTCAGAAGTTTGAAGACATTTCTTTTTGAAAGCCTTCTTTACTCCATAAAAGTCCTCTTAACACAATGAGGGAAAAACTGAAACTAACATTCCACATGGTGAAGCAGAGAGTGGCAACTAAGGGCGTTTAACTACTAAATAATAACCAAAAATAATAATAAACAACAATAAAGGAGGCTGTTTGTTGTAAAAAACATACAACACATACACTCACCGGACATTTTATTAGGTACAATTGCTAGTACCGGGTTGGAACCCCTTTTTGCCTTCAGAACTGCCTTAATTCTTCGTGGCATAGATTCAAAATGATGTTGGAAATATTCCTCAGAGATTTTATTCTATATTGACATGATAACATCACGCAGTTGCTGCAGATTTGTCAGCTGCACATCCATGAACCGTTAATACAAGGCAGGATGGATCCATGCTTTCATGTTCTTTATGCTACCATCTGAATGTCGCAACTGAAATCAAGACTCATCAGACCAGGGAATGTTTGTCCAATCTTCTGTTGTCCAGTTTTGGTCAGCCTGTGTGAATTGTAGCATCCGATTCCTGTTTGTAGCTGACAGGCATGGTGTAGTCCATCTGCTTTGGGCTCGATGTGTTGTGTGTTCAGAAATAGTATTCTGCATATCTTGGTTGTAACGAGTGGTTATTTGAGTTACTGTTGCTTTTCTATGATTTCTATCACCTCAAACCAGTCTGCCCATTTTCCTCTGACCTCTGACATCAACAAGGTATTTTTGTCCACACAACTGCCGCTCACTTTATCTTTTTTGGACCATTCTCTGTAAACCCTAGAGATGATTGGGAGTAAAAATCCCAGTAGATCAGCAGTTTTTTAAATACCCAAGCAAGCAGGTCTGGCACCAACAACCATGCCATGTTCAAAGTCGCTTAAATCCCCTTTCTTCCTCATTCTGATATTCGGTTTGAACTTCAGCAAGTCATCTTCACCATGTCTAGATGCCTAAATGCATTGAGTTGCTGACATGTGATTGGCTGATTAGCGGTTTGTGTTACCAAGCAATTGAACAGGTGTACCTAATAAAGTGTCCGGTGAGTGTATATATGCACTGTATCTGTGTGTATTGCCTCAAGCAGTCTGTTTTATTGTTGTTAAAAAAAAAAAAAAAAATATATATATATATATATATTTTTTTTTTTTATAATTATAACTTTTATTATAGGACCATCATTTAACATATAGCATACAGTTGCATATAATATAGCAGAGTATTTGGGCTACAACTTTATTATTCAGTATAATAATACTGTGAAGTTCAAACCGCAGTAAAACATGGCAACCAGTCAGAACTAAGATTACAGTAGGTTAGCCAAAGAAGAATTCTGATTGGTTAACTGCCCTTTTCACACTTTTGTTCCTATTTGAATGAACTAGACACTCCATGTGCAGTTTGATCCTCAAATATTCATAGTGTCTCATAATTCGAAGTATGATTGACTAGTAACTCCTGACTGCATCCTTTCTGGTCAGTCATCCAAAGGCTTTAGTAACGATCAGCTAAAATAGAACTCAGGGCTTCTGCCAGATCTGTCAGGCTGTAATTTGAGAGAGGAACTAGCACTGACCCAGTTGTCAAGGCCTCAGAGGGATGTAATTTGATGGGTCAATGAGAGCAGTCAGTGGATAATCTTGTATGCATAGTAAATTTATGTTTCCTATGAAGAAAGGGTACAAACAGTCAGACCAAAATTAGCATCTCAAGTAATACATTACATTACATCCTCTGGATCAACTGTGGGTGTAGGATTATAATTTTTTTTTTTATGGTTAAAAACTGGATGGACTTTTGTCTTTTTCAGCCAGACTAACTATGTAAAAGCATAGTAGCCATGGATAGAAGGTTGACGAGAATTAAAGAGGCCCTGAGCTATAAAGCTGTGCCCAGAAAAGGCAAGAAGAGGGTGAAGATCTAGTCCCCAATATTACCCGTAGGCTCCCTACAGCTAATCGTCTCCTCATTACTAACCTACGATGCCTAATTCCACACTGTGTCTCTTTATGGAGGAGGCTATCTTGGTAGAAGCAGAACTTCAAGTCCTTATATCAGACTGACCCTGATGATGGGAGATCTGATAGCTGATGAGGAAATATTTAAAAAGCAGAAGTGAGGGAGCCAAGATCTGCAGAATGAATGAAGTAGAATCTTTAATTTGCAGGTGCTTATGTACTGCTTCCTTTCCAGCAAGGAGAATAGTGAGCAGCACAGTAGCAATATCTCCAAATCTCACTCCAAATCTCATTGAACTAGCAGTCAATAGCAGATGTGCCTTAAAGTATAACTTAAGGCAAACCTTTTTTGGTTTTGGATAGGGTGGTGATGGATTACAACCTGTCAAGTTTTTATTGCTTTCTGTGTCCCTGTTATGGAGATGTATCCTTTCTTTGTGTCCTGTTTACCATTTTTGCCAAAAGTGAAAATGAAAGAAAATCCCAAATTTTGGGTTATCCCCAGAATAGAAATAGAGTGCAAATCTCCAAATGAAGACACTCACATTGGAGGGATTTCCTCTCAGTTCCTATTCTGGCTTTCAAGACAAAGGACAGACATTTCAGGGTACTGCTTAGGCACATTAAACATTTCTAGAAGTTCCCTTTATGAAAGAAAAGCTTCACTTTTTGAGTTGAAGTCCACTTTTAGTATTAGAATAATCTATTAGAAACTTGTTTTAAAATATATTGAGTAAGCCAATTTTTATTGCCTTTATTTTTACTTTTGTGAAGAAGGGGGATAGTTAGGGTGTATTCTTGGAAAAGCTGCAGAATTCAGTCAATATTCCTTTCTACTGCTGACACAGAATATATTGCCTTTTCCTCTGTATAAGTCACCTGTTCCTTCTCATGCTGCCTTATGCAGCAAAGTGCTGACCAAGAGAATGCTGTGGTGGTGATATCTGGGATGTATGTAGAGATCCTTAGCTTGTGCTGAGTTCATCATAAACCCCTTAAGTTCACTTGATGTCTTTATTGTATCATGATTTTTGTGTCTTCTTTCATTTTCTTTCCATATTTATGAAAATTTAGACAGCGTTATTTAGTGTAAAAGTGAAAACATTATTTTTCATATTTATTACCCGTGCAGTTTTGATTCTAACCAATGATAATATCCTGTTACTGATAACAGTATTGATACTGTTTGGCTATAGATATTAGGAATTATGCTAAAGCTGTATCTCATGTTTTGAATCTGCAGTGGAAATTAGGAAACTTCCCCTCAGGGGTGGACTGACAACTCATGGGGCCCCTGGGCAATAGGGGATCATGGGGCCCCTGTGTCCTTGCCCAAACTCAAAAAAGCCTATGAAAAAGGTACCAGGGGCATCTCATGGGGCCCCCTACTGACCCCGGACCCTTGGGCAGTGTCAGTCCACCCCAGCTTCCCCTCTAAATATTGCCTGCCTCATCTCCAATCGAGTTTAGGTGGTTTTATTTTAAATTGTAACTATGGAGAGATAATTCATGAGTTCTGACAATGATGTTATATTTTTTGACAGACAGCAATCAAGAAAAATAATCCTCGCAAATACCTGCGGAGCGTAGGGGATGGAGAGGTGGTGGAGTTTGATGTTGTTGCTGGGGAGAAGGTGAGAATATCTGCAATGCCATCATCAAATTTACAGCCCCTACATTTTTCTAAAGGCTAAATTCACCCTGCACACATTAAGCAACTTATAGCAATTTTTTGTGCAGTGATTATTAAACATTATATGGTATAGATGTGCTACAAACACACAAACATGAGAGGTATGCATATGTGTTTGACCATCATCCAATTCAATAAACCTGCTTAAATGCATATAAAAATGTCCAGTCATTTGAAATGCACTAAGATGTAGTGTATACAGTACATATGAACTAGCCATGCAGTAATAAATTGTATAACTCACATTCATACATACCAAGATCAATTTAGACAGGAGCCAGGTAACCTACCAGCATGTCTTTGGATTGTGGGAGGAAACCAGAAAACCTTGAAATATTCCTTAGTGCTCCCTGTAACTAGGGTGAATTTTATCGATTTTATTATACAACAAGGCATTTTAGAATAGGACCAATGTAATTATGAGGGCTAATTTTTAAAGGTTCAAAACTTGCTTCATACATTCTCTGCTGCTCAAATGTAACACTGGACCAAAACTTGCTTTTGGCCACATCTCCTGTACTTTACTTGAGCATGAAAGACATAGAAGTTATAATGCACTACCAGGCATTTTATCACCTAGCGGAAAAACAAATCCTAACAATATGAAAATGTTCACACATAACAACCCATTGCCATTAAATAGGACAGATGTTTCTATCAAAATATCATGGATCAGGGTACTCCATACATTCAGACCATTATCCATACGTGATCCAGGTCCCAAATAAAAAAATTTATTTTTATAGGCAAATCTGTCTTTTTTCTAATGTTGGTGAGTTGGTATGTGCAAACATTTTCATATTATTTGGATCTGGTTTTTATTTTTTTTCAAGTAATAGAACCCTCTGAAGTGTATAAAACTTTTTTATGGCTATATATGTTTTGAAGTTTGCACCACACAGAGCTTTTTGAAGATAACACAATTCCCATGTGAAACCTAATTATATGTATGCAGAGGAGGTGAATTCGGGTCATTTAGGGAGAAGTGGTGGTGTATGTTTTTATTTTTTTGGACAAATCTGTGTTTTGCTTAATCTAGGCAAGTACATTTTATTAGGCCAGTCAATTCTTACCTTTCTTGTGCCACCCTGTGGCCCTGATCTGCTGCCAGTGTTGTTTGAAGTCCTGAGTAAGGGCCAGTTCACACTACATGCGTTTCAGTTATATGTTTTCTGCATCCAAAATGCACAGAAAGTAGGTTATATGGTTGTCAATGTCATAGTTCACATCAGTGTTTGCAGTTCCAGTGCGTTCCAGTTACAGAAAAAAAAGTAGAACATGCTGCATTTGTTTCTGCACAGAACTGTACTGGAACGCAGTAAAATGCACAAAAAATGTACCGGAACGCACCAAAAACACACTGGAATGTGCATGTCCCTATTTGAATTGAAGAAAAAGAGAGGAGAAAAAATGAACTAGAATGCTTACAAAATGCACTGGAACGTGTCAAAAATGCACACGTTCCAGAATGCACCAAAAACTTGTCAAAGACGCACATGCAAAAACGCATCCGGAAAGCATCTGGACTGCGTTTCTATAGTGTGAACCACCCCTAAGTGCAAACTTTAAGTCAAAATTTCCCCTGCACCCACGTGCCCTCACCTTGTGGCTGGACAATTGCATTCTGGGAGGGAGGAAGGAAGAGTACCCAATGTTCATTCATACACAGAAACATAGGGTAGATCTTCCGGCTCCAGAGACAGAACAGGGAAAGTAAATAAAAACTGCTTGACAGTACCTCCATTAAATCAAACTACTTTGCCTAAAATGATCAAAAATTAAGTTTTGCTTTAATTTGCTTTCCGTATTAAAATCTGTCTTACACTTTTGCATAACTGTCTTGGTCCTCTAGGATTGCAGAATATTTTCATATTCTGCAGTCTTGACAAAAGTGATCATCAATGACTAGAGAAGGCAAATCCAACAACTTAGTGCAGATCCATTACAAATTAGTAAAGCATGATATTTTATTGAATTACATCTTAGCACTTTAAATAATACAGTTGATGACAATGATGATGGTACCTCATCCCTGAGTAATTATCATGTGCAAACATGGAATGGGACTTTATATAGGTACCAAAGAAACATAAAAGAGATATAAAAAATTATATCACTTTATTTGTTAACAAAATATTAAAATTATATCACCATTTAAAAGGTTGTACTTGATTACATCAAGGGTTTATATAACGTATACAATCCATCATATACATATGTCTTCAATATCAGTCTGTAAAAACACCTCAACACGTTTCAACTCATACAGAGTCTTCATCAGGAGGTAAAGAATATATTCTGGAATACAAACATGAGTAAATACCAAAGTTCAAAACAAAAAATATTATCAGAAAAACAAACAATTGTACATCAACAGGATATATTCCAATTACTTACGAAGAACCCAGTGATGTATATATAAAATAGAGAGGATGTAAGTCCAAGGAAAAACCACAGAGGTGGTCTGCACATGATAGTTGATGATACCTGACTTATTATTTTACAATTTGTCTGCTTCTGTCTAAATTATATAATATTTTTTAGGGTGCTGAGGCAGCTAATGTAACAGGCCCGAAAGGAGCTCCCGTCCAAGGAAGCCGATATGCTGCCGACAGGCGCAGGTACCGCCGTGGGTACTATGGACGCAGAAGGGGACCTCCAAGAGAGGTATGTAATAAATGTAGTATGTCATATTTACTATATTATACAAAGCACACAAATCAGGCTTTCACAAGTTCTTTTTCCAAAATGTAATGAAGCTCAGAAAATAAGTGCTTTTGGGTTTTAATGAAACTGTAAGTTACAGATAAAGTGTGTTCCAGGACTGTCAGGTTTTTATTGCTTTTTGGGGGTTGACACACAGGAAAACTCAAGTGAGAAATCTGTCTTAGTTCAGGGCCAAAATTTGGTACCTAAGCGACAATTGCGCATAGGGCAGCCCATTCACATGAATGGCCTGTCTTATGCACGACACGAGTTTCCACATGAGAATCGCGCTAACAAAATTACGAGCGGTAATGCATGTTACTGCTATGCGTAGCGTGAACGGGGGCCTAAACCTATAAAAAAAAGATTTTGGCTTGACATACAGGCAGTGCTATATAAAACATATGGTATGAAAAATGATAGCATATCACTGCATTAAGGAATAGGAATGAAACAGAGACTTATGTTACATCTATTTACGGTCATACTTGCTATCTACCAGTGAGATATTATATGTACAAATAAATATCCAAGAACACATACATTATTGCTGTAAGTATTTCTGCTGACTTTTCTAGCACATGTTTATGTCTAGTGAAAGTTAAATGAACGTCAGAGCTTCCTGGAATTGAAGGGGTAGATGAAGAATAAAGTGGAGCAGCTGCTGTTGTTGGAAGTCTAATTTTATCTCCTGAGTTTCATGCTGTGTGAAGGAGAGAAACAGATGCTAGGGATTATAAGAAAAAAAGGAGTGTGAAAGCCCAGTCAAGTGAATCACTCAGATTACAAGCACATGTGTCTAAGTGTCATGCCCACAATGACTTGTCATGTTCTAAAGGCTGCTGATGAGCCCATCAAATATAATATCCATATTAAGGAATAGATGTCCATAAAATGGCTAGCTGCATTTAGCCAAATCTAAAATGGGATTTCTCACTAAGGCAAAGAGGAATGTGCAAACAACAGTAAATTACAGCAATCAATCAAATTCCAGATTGGGTGGACTGATTTCAACCAAATTAAATGTGATTGGGTGTTCTGGGTTCTTGAGTATTGATCCTTGCACTACCTTATAGAATAAAGACTGTTACAGCTGTTGTAATTATGGTTGATGCAGTTGCTATACGTAGGGCCAGCTTCCCATTGACAGAGTGTAACCTCATTTTTCATTTATCATAGGTAGTAGTTGTTGTATTTTATCAGATAGCTAGAATTATACCTACAATTAGTGATGAGTGAACCAGGCAAAGTTTGGTTCACTGCACATGTACCAATGAAAAAAAAAATGTTTTTGAAAAATAAAATTATGCGAGGAGAGAGTCCTTTAATTTGACCTAAAGGGCAACATTAAAAATACACAAATCCTTTAAATAACATGCCTTCCTTGAACCTGCACATGAAATGGCTCATCTGTAAGATGTACTGCAGCAAAAGTGACGCTTACAATAAAAACAATCTATTTAAATAACATTTATCCACTAGCTGGAATGATGTATATATAGCCCCCCCCCCCCCCGTCCTAAAGGGGCTTCCAGATTCTGATAAGTCCCTCATTCAGACACGCACACTACTTTTGGGCAACAGGCTATGTAGGGATGTTTTCCTCTCAACATGGGGACATGAAGACTTGCAAGGGTGGTGAGCTTTGCCCTCCCAATGTTGAAGGCATGTGGCCTGGTATGGAGTATTTTATAGATATAAAAGGGGAATCCATGCCAAATTTTACATTTTTTTAATGGTGTGATAGCCCTTAAACTTAAAAAAAAAATCCCCACTCTTCCCTTGCAAGGCACCTTGTTCCCATATTGAGAGGACAAGGACCCCATCCCCCGCATCCTGTCCTCCAAAAAGTATATGGGGATCTATGGTGAAAGAACTCTCGCCATGGAATCTGGAAGCCCCTACATATGGTATCACCTCAAGTTATTAAGTCACAAAAAAAAAATATTGCCATATGATGTGAATCCCTTTGGTCAGTGATGTAGATCCATGTCAATCATGAAGGGCCACACCCGATGATGTTTACCTGCCACCATGCTGCCCTGACACTACTTCCATTGAGAATGACAGATCATACGTGTTCTGTAACATCACCAAAGATCCCAGCAGGATGGCTTACAAACAGAAGTTAAAAACAATTAAAAATGAGCCCACGCAACAAAACACTCTAAAGAATTTTTTAGTAATACCATAGCTAGCCAGCACACTGTGTGTATCACCCACAGACAATAAATGGTAAATGGATTTCGTACATTTGTGCAGTGCTAAATAATGTGAACACATATACAAAAATCAATAATACACATGTACAAAGTGTATATACAACACATACACATCATTTAGCGCCGCACAAATTTACTGTATTCATTATACAAACAGACGTTTTCTGGGAATATGTCATGTCATTTCAAAATTTAGTGGTTGTGTGGCAACATAAGACAATCCTTTTTAAAAGAAAAGCTTTAACAATTGAACTTACAAAATAATATTCTATCTAAAATTATTATAACTGTGTAGGCTTATCTATGACATAATTACAGTATAACTGTCCTGTTGATGATCTTCCTTTACCTTTTACTCTTTAATCTTCACATCAGGAGTCAGGCTTTTACTGAATATATAAAGCTAAATATGGTGGTAAATATATAATTCCTGCACAATTGTAATAACTTTCATTTGAATATTAGGGTTCTTGCCCTGATTTTCTTTACAACTAATCATGAATGATGCTGATCATTGCTGACCAATTAATTACAGCTTGAAATGCACTTAATGCATACCATAGTCCACAACTGCTCATTAGGATATCTCTACTTGATACAGGGAGGAGATGGAGAAATAAAAGATGGTGCTCCTGAAGCAGCCCTACCCCAGCAACCAAATCGCCAACCTACCAACTACCGAGGAAGGTATCGCCGGTAAGTCTGTCCCATATAAAGCAGTCCTAGTTCTTAGTCTTCTGATTAAGACCTGATTGACATCTATAATACAATGACAATGGCGCTAACGTTTTTGTATATTTGGAACAGACCCGTGTCTCAACCCAGGTCTGGTCTACCTACTGGAGAAAATGAAATGAAAGAAAACCAACTTGAGACAGGGGCTCCAGAACAACAACAGCAGAACCGCCGCGGTTTCAGAAGACCATACAATTATCGTCGTCGACCTAATCAGGCAACTGCTCCAACACAGGGAGGCAAGGAAACAACAAGGGTGTGTAAAGAACTCTAAAGTTTACATATAGTTAATTTCTGATAAAATTAATCTTGTGAAAAACCTTCAGTTATTTTTTTAATTTGGTATTCAGTAGACCAAATTTACCCATAGACAGAAACAGCAGATACTCAGTAGAACAAAAAAAAACATCCAAATTAGGTTACTGCAGTGCTGACTTATACCTATGGGTAAATTTAGTCTACTGGATGACAATGTACCAATTTATTGAAGGTTTTTACTATCTCATGTCAATGGAAAACTGTCCAAGATGGTGTGGAATGTTTGAGGGCCCAAGCTAGTACACCCACTATGGAGTCAATGACTGCTCACCCAGTTTGCATTGCCATTCCTGATCATGTTTGCTCGACCAGGGCAGGAAGAGCCTTACAAGGAAAAATAAATATTATTATTATAAAAAATGTTCATCTCTACATACTATTTTAAAATAAACTACTAATTCCAGTTGCAGAGCCTCTGCCTCTAACTTTAGTTGTGGCTGAGCTTTATTTTGTTCTACTTTATAAATAAAGAAATAAATAAAGAAATGTCCTAAGTTTAATGACAGCTATGGTAACGGGGGGGGGGGGGGGGGGATAATATGATGCACCTAACTTTATATCAAAAGTTTGGGGTGACAAGTTGCAAACAAAAAGCAGCTTTTTGCCTGTGTCAACAACAAGTGTACCCTTCCAAGGTAAAAAAGACCCTGAGAAAAAAAAACCAAAATGTACCTGCTTGTCATAGAATTCTTTCCCTCTATTTGCTGCTGACTTCCACCTGCATTATGGAAGAGCAGACCAATAGGTGTTCCCCCTACAGTTATGCCCCGAGAGCGGGGGATCTTGCCACAGTCAGGAAATGCAGCACACAGTGTTTTTGTACCACTCCTCAAAGTGGGACATTTTGGACTCCCTCTGGGATGATGGCAGTAGATTCTCCATAATTTCCCCTTATATTTGGGAGGGGTGAAACATCCCTCTTGAAGCCCCCCAACAAATTTCTACTTCCATCTGACCTCCAGAACCAAAATAATGATTTCCCAACTTCTAACCTTCAGCACGCCAATATTTTCTACCAGCATTAGCAGTTAAAATGTCTGCTATGCACCCTTGAGTAGGAGGAAAATGGTGCATTACCAGCCCCCATAAAAAAGGGCTTCTATGTACTCTTGAGTAGGAGGAAAGAGGAAAATTGGCAATCCAAAAAATTGGTTGCTATTTTCTCTTGAGAAGGAGAAGGAGTAGGAGGCATTAGCAGCCCCCCCCCTCAAAAAAAATGGCTGCCATGCATAATTGAAAAAATGGAAGAAAAGAATACATGAACAGCAGTGTAAAAAGAGTAACTGCTCTGCACTCCTGAGAAAGAGAAGGAGGAAAAGTGTGCATGAACAGCCCTGTAGCAAAAAAAAACAGTTGCTCTGCGCCCTTTACGAAGGGGAGGAGGAGGAAAGGACATATTAGCAGCACAGTAATAAAGTGGTTGCTATGCATCCTTGAGCAGGATCAGGAAGAAAAGAGCCATAAACTTTCTGCTAAATTGTATTGATGGGTTTGAAATGCAAAGAACTTGGCAGATTACTAAAGACAAACATAAAATAAACAAAAACATACAAAAATATGAAAATTAAAATTTAAAAAAAGAAAATGGTGGCTGGTAATCTCCCACTCTGGGGCTACCCAGGCCAGGAAATTTCCACTAGATTATATGGAAGAGGTTGCAGTGCAAAGAGCTTGGAAAAAGGGGACTCAGACTGCCAGACTTGGGGTTGGTTATAGTGTAGCTTTTTTTGCAACTCAAGATGGCATCTGCCATATGGAGTGGCAGTGTCCAGGCACTGTACATTATTTGTTAATATTTTCTCTGAAATAGTACACTATAAAGTTTATTTCATGATAAAACCTGTCTCATATCTACCTGTTTCATTGCTACCTAACCAAGCTGCTTACATACTGTCCAGCCACTATACAATTATTATGTGTTCTTGCATGGCAAGACCACTTACTGTTATCTCACATATATATTCTTATTATTATAGCCAAATTTACCACCCTAACTCCTCCCACAGTTTTTACACTACATAGACAGTAATATACCGAAACGTGCGGATTGTTCCTGATTGGTGTGCTATTACTTTGTGGAACGTTTCACCGAATTGTTCACAAAATATTGGCGTTTTTGTGGTGAAATTCATCCCATAGGAATGAATGGCGGAATGTTCAAAACTAGAGTGGGAGCTGACAAAAGCTAGAGTGTGAGCTGAAAAATCAGGACATGATTTCTAAACTGTCTTCACTACCTCATTTTCATGCCCGCCTACACAAATCTTATTTCAAAACGTTCAGCTATCCCTGCTGGCACTAAAAATGTCCACGGCTAAGCCGTAGTCCTGATAGTTTTCACAATATGACCATTTGTTTGCAACTCAGGCCGCCCATTGACATTCATTGAAACTCCACTCTAGCCACCTGAAATTTGAAGGGCAATTTCTAAACTCCGACTGTGCCTTTATTTTTAATATTTCAGAGACATACTATGCATCAAACTATAGGTCTGGGTCTTGTGATTCTTACAATATAAAGCTCTTCGGTGTAGAATTTATAATTTTTAAACTACAACCATTTGAAGAGGCAACCGCCAGTGAAGTGAGCAAGTTGGAGCAGGTTGTTTTTAACCGCTCTTTTCTGCCCTTACTGTATAGTGAGTTGCCATAGGAACCCAGGTGTGTGAGCGTAATGTTTACTATCATTACTCACTCCAAACACTCCACACAGTTACTCTGCCCACTCCATAAAGTTACTCTGCCCAGTCCAACCTTTTCACAGTTACTCCAGCCACTCCAACCACACAACAGTTACTCAAGCCACTCCACCCAGTTACTCTGCCCACTCCAGTTGTAGACCAGCGGTGGAGGCAAGAACACTTCACACAATTTCCCCAGAAATTGTAGCTTTTCTAGTTGTAGCTATTGTCCCTGAAATAGTACACGTTAATGTTTCTTTCAAACCTGCCTTATCATTATCTCTAATAATGTGGCCTAATCTAGCTGCTTACATACTGCCCAGCCAATGAACCATATTTGTGGCTATTGTTTCTTAGATAATGCACTCTAATTTTTATTTTAGGAAAAATCTCCTTTGTCTGTTTCTATTTGTTGTCTATTCAAGTTCTCACATACTGTCCTGATGCTAGCCATTTTCTAACAAACTAAAGTCTATATTTGATTATTTTCGACAATGCAGTGTGGAACTGCTAAAAACAAGGTCACAAACTATATTATCGAACTGTTGTGCTACTGGCCAATTTCTACAAAGTTAATGGCTTTAGCTCTATTTTTTTAAGAGTAAACTTTCCAATAGTGTTTAGATCTGTTGCATCTGGTACTTAAACCTTTTAATTCAAGCCTATTACTGCTGAATACAAAATCAGGTGCCACAGCCAAACTAGCTTAAAAAGCCTTTTTTTTTTTCAAGTTGTAATGAATTAGATTGGGGTGCTGCTGCTGTATTTATTTAGATAAAAAGTGTTGCACTGTAAATACATATATCAATTTGTGCAATTAAAAAAAAATAAAATATACAAAAATCCACAATGATTTAAAACATATAACCAAAATGAAACACATAAAGTGACTAACAAAATGTGAAAAAAATTATATATAAAGCTGAGTTCCATTTAAATAAATGTAAAGTGATTACGAAGAAAAAAGTCGCTATTAGATTCAATATGGGCTCCTGAAGTAATTTCCAAATGGTGCAATATCACCAGTGCCGCCTGTCACCAGGAATAGTGAATAAAATGTGGGCTTACCAAATGTGTTTGACCTCCTTATTCAGATAAGTCAACATGAACTCAAAGCAGCACAGCCTCATTCACATCTCTCCATGCCATTCCCAGAAATGCCACTCTGCTAGTATGCAATATAAATTCCATGCAATCCATATCATGTAAAAAGAGCACATATACGCTCCATAGTATAAATATCATAAAAACAAATTTTATTTCAGCAGAGGTCCGAGTCCCATGTTTGTGCAATGACCCATACCCGTACCCATAAGTGTTACAGCTTTCCCTGGTCAAAACAGCCCAACAAATAGGTACCCTGGAAGCAATTCAATTAGATGCCTGAGACCCTGCCATTGGCGGTGGGTAGAAGCCCAACTGAAGGCAATGGGAGTCTGAAAGCTCATCAAATCACAAACTGCCCAATTTGCAAGTGTGACTTAGGTCTAAGGGCTAGTTCATATTAGATGCAGTCCGATACGTCTTTTTTTCTGCAACAAAAATGCATGCACAATGTTTTCCATGTATTCCAAAGGCCTTAGTTCACACCAGTGCAATCAGTTCCAGGTGCACACAAAAAGTAGAACATGCTGCATTTTTTCTGCACAGAACCACACTGGAACATAGCAAACTGCATCAAAACTGCACCAGAACTACGTGTGCTGAGAACTGTAAACAAAAATGTATCCGCAATGCATTAGGAGTGCCTTTTTGTGGTGTGAACTGGCCCTAATACTGCATGCATTTGTAAAAGTGTTAGCAGCAATGAGACAACAATCTTGCCTTATGGTAGATGTCAGCTCTGAATTTCTGATGCATAATGTGATACACACAAGAATGCCAATTTAATAATGATAAAGACAGTGGTTAACATACAGTAACCAATTACTGTCTGCTCTGAAAGTAGTCAGGTCGGATTATTTACTTTGAGTTACTATGGAACATAAATTATTCTTGCTCTCTAAACATTACATAAACCTGTACATGCAAATATATCCCGAGTAAGTTAGAAATTGTAGTCATAAAAATGCCATATAAAGTAAATGATGTCTGTGTTAAAGCGTCACTATGTGCACCTGCTGTCTTGTGAAGGTTGTTACTTTATTGCCGTAGACATTATTTCATTTAGGACGTTACTATAACACTGTTTTCTGTTTGCTGTGTAGCCGGCTGAAAGCACAGCCGAGAAGCCTGTGCCAGTGGTTGAGAAAAGCAATGCTGTGTAACCCGAGTGACTCCATCGACCATCATGTAAGTGAGAAGGTCAGTTACAGTTACATTATGTGCAGTTGCTTCTGTGCCTTCAGCCAATTTATGCCAGGGATTAGACCATATATCAGATTTCATTAAACATGAAGACCAGACCGTCATTTTACTTTTAATCACCTGCACTCACTATAAGCTACAACTGATACCAGAGATTAAGAAGTAAACTGTGCTGTCTAAGGTGAAATCCATAAAAACTGATATTTCAGCTTCTAGCAAATGTTGGTGGGCTTCATCAGGCACTGTTTATTTTTAACCTTTCTTTCCTGACACGAAGTAACTGCTCATTCTGTAGTTACAGTGTAAATGTCCAATTAATCTGCCATAATTTTGTGCAGCGGGTAGGTGGCTCTTTGAATTCAGATTCAGAAATATTTATGATATAGTCACTGTAACGGAACCGGACCCCAGACCACACTTGGGTATATTCCGTTATACCTCAGCTTCCCTGTCCGAACACCATCCACGGACCACACCCTTGATATCCCTCAGGAAATAGACAGCACCTGACTCTTCTTAAAACAGGAAGTCAACTACTTTATTTTACACACACAACAAGTTATATACACAGGGCGGTGAAACACAACCAGGAACAGGAAACACATCATCAGCCCACCCCATCAGTGGGGAGGGCTACAGGAAACACATCATCAGCCCCCCCCATCCAACCAAGACACAGAACAATGGGGCAGCACATGGCAAAAGGACAATAGACAGCCATGTGGCTGAGAACAAAGGACAATACACAATAGACATTCACATACACACCCTGTACCCTAACAGGCACAGGGTCACTTAAACATAAGAATTTGGGAAGATGATACAGAGGTTCCCCCCACCCCCAAAAGGCACTCCCGTCACAGTCACTTAGGCTGGATTAATTTTGTGTTCCTGCTTCTCACACACATTACCAGAATGCATTGTAAGGCTGCTTTCACACTGATCTCCTGCAAAAACGCATATTCGTTTTTGCAACATTTTTTACTGCATTCGCAATGCATTTTTGTTAAAGGACATACAACTTGAAAATTGTACCAAAAACACAATGCAGGTGCATTTATGCTGCATTTTCCATTGATTTCAATGGGAAGATGCATTACCAAACCTGCAGCTGCAGCAAGCAAGGCTTTGAAAAACGCACTGCATCTGCAATATATCAGTGTGAAGAGTTTCACAGGAATACATGGTCACACGGTTTTCTTATTTTATTGCAAAAGCGGATGAAAAACGGATCAGTGTGAATGCAGCCTAATGCACGGTACATTTTTGAATGTCCATTCATTTTAAATGACACACCCCAGGTTTCTTTGCAAGTGATTACTAGGTGTAATCCTACACTCCCATCTGTCCTTTTAGCCCCAAATTTAATCACTGTCCAAATCTTGTAGACTTCACCTCCGCAACATCTCCAATCACCAATCCTTAACCTCTGAAACCACTAAGCAAGTTATTCACTCCCTTGTTATCTTTCGCCTTGACTATTGTAACTCCCTCCTCATTGGCCTACCTAACCAAAGGCTTTCCCCTCTTCAGTCTATCATGAATGCTGCTGCCAGACTCATCCACCTTACTAACCGTTCCCTCTCTGCCATCCCTCCACTGACTTCCCATTGCCCAGAAAATAAAATTCAAAACATTAACAATAACATATAAAGCCATTTATAACTCTGCCCCAAATTACATCACCAATCTTGTCTCCAAATATCACCAAAACCATTCTCTCCGCTCCTCCCACGACCTCCTGCTCTCTAGCTCCCTTGTCTCCTCCTCCCATGCTCATCTCCAGGACTTCTCCAGAGCTTCCCCCCATCTTCTGGAACTCTATACCCCAACCTATTCAACTATCGCCTACTCTGCCCACTTTTAGGCGATCTCTAAAAACCTCTCTCTTCAGGGAAGCCTATCCTGCCTTCAACTAATAATGGAATCCTCTATTCCTCCTATCAGTTCATCACCAACAGTTATTACCTTTTGTACCACCAGCCCCTCCCTCTTAGATTGTAAGCTCCAAGGAGCGGGGCCCTCCTAACCCTCTTGCATTGAACTGTATCGTTGCTGTATTGTCTCCCTTTATATTGTAAAGCGCTGAGCAAACTGTTGGCGCTATATAAATCCTGTATAATAATAAATAATAATGATTAAGGCGCTTGCCCTGCTTCTGTGCACTCGTCAAGCTATACAATAAACATCACTGGGTACAAGCCCAGAACAAAAGCTGGATAGACTAGCTCCAAAATAGAGAAAAGAGAGCAAAATATATCAATACTTATGTATTGGGTTATATTTAAAAACACATTTTAAATTGAGAATTTTTTATTAAAAATTATATTATCAGAGATAGAACATAGACTGTGCCTGAAAGATGCCTGCATGCAAACAGTTTAGTTATTTAGATGTAGTCTACCAATAATTGTTCTGTGTATGTGCTGAAATTGATTCTCTCCTGGATGGGATGGAAAGCCATAGGCACAATGACTACGTTTACTAGTACATGTGGTAATCATATGATGGGTTCTTTTACCTCCTAACATGGAAATTTGAGGTCTGGCAGATTTGTATATTCATACAAGAAAAATGTAGAGTGAACACCATAATTATAGAAATTATTTTCAATGAATCCCTTTTATACTGTGATATGTGTGCAAAGTATCTTCCAAGGAAGGTTCTAAACCTTTGGGACTCAGAAAAAGGGACTATACTGTGGTGTATTTGCACAGGCTCATATTCAGGGTCATTTAGACTAGAGCTACACAAGCCATTTTAATCTCATGGTCCCAAGAACTTTAAAGTCTACTATGAATTGTTCTGTGTATGTACTGAAATTGATTATCTCCTGGATGGGATGGAAAGCCATAGGTACAATGACTACTTTTCCTAGTACATGTGGTAATCATATGATGGGCTCTCTTAGCTCCTAACATGGAAATTTCAGGTCTGGTAGATTTGTATATTTATGCAAGAAAAATGTAGAGTGAACACCATAATTATAGAAATGCTTCTCAATTAATCCCTTTTATACTGTGATATGTGTGCAAAGTATCTTCCGAGGAAGGTTCTAAACCTTTGGGACTCATAGGTATAATGACTACTTTTACTAGTACATGTGGTAATCATATGATGGGCTCTCTTAGCTCCCAACATAGAAATGTTAGGTCAGGTAGATTTGTCCAATCATACAAGAAAAGCGAACACACATAATTATAGAAATTCTTGTCAATGATGTGTCCTTGTTTTAACTCATTACGTTTGTTTCTCTTTGGCAGGTTGTGAGCGGAGGGAATGTGAATAATCAAAGTGGCCATTTACCACAACTAATTCTGAAAATTCTGCAATTGCCTAATACTTAGGAGGGAGATGAACTACAACTTTACTGCTCAGCTTGCCTGCTGCTGATTTCTACACTGTAAACTTTGTACTCTGTGGTACTACCAGTGGAATTCTTAACTTTCCATTACAGCCATTGATGTGGACTATGAGCAGAACAGATTTCGAGAAATGTCTCTTGTTACACATTTACTACTGAAATCTGGTTGGGTCATTTAAGTAAATCTTAATACAGACATCTTCTGCTCGAAAATGATATACAAGACATAAAAAATAGGTTTTATTGATGAATATAGCACAGTTGCTGCAGCAAAACTTAAATGTTGCTTAAAGGAAAGAATGGTTAAATGCAAAAATAAAACAAAACCCTCCTCTCCTAGCCTTTGCACATCTGATGACATCATAGGCCATATACTGACCTTGGTTCACAGATACATTGCTGGCACGTTTCTTAAAGTCAAACACAACCCCTGGATGCCTTTGCAATAAAATCAATAGATATGGAACAACAAAAAAAATCTGCTCCTGCTTTATTTCCTAATGATAATGTACGGTATATACAGTATGAATGCACCATTTTCCATTAGCCAGTGGATGAAATGCTTTAATAGATTCATGCTCAGAACATTTTAATTTATAACATCATTAACATACAGTATGTCAGCAAATTCTGGTGCATGACCTTGTCATGTGACCCCTGTTGTATGTATTTTCTGTCTTTAAAGAACAAATTCAAGCAACAAATCATCAAGTAAATGCATACAACTCACGTCCTCCAGAAAAAATACTGCATGCATGCTAATGTGAGAAGCCTACTCATTTTACTACAACTAAGATTTCTAAAAAAATTCAGTGCAGCTACATTTAGTTGGCTGCTCCTGGGGCTTTCTTTAACCAGGTTTACCACCTTTTTTTTCATGGTTGTGTTGTGCAGAATCCCTTTTATACTGCGATATGTGTGCAAAGCATCTTCCGAGGAAGGTTCTAAACCTTTGGGACTCAGAAAAAGGGACTACATTGTGTCATATTTATACAGGCTCATATTCAGGGTCATTTAGGCTAGAGCTACACAAGTGATTTTAATCTCATGGTCCCAAAAACGTTATCCACTTTATGGTAGTCACTTAAGTAAAATGGCTATTCACCATGAAAACAAACTTCCCTCTTCTCCAACCCTCCTCAACTCTGCTACACAAATATCTCCCTCCCCTTTTTTTCTTTCTAACAACCCATCCTCTTTTCTCGCCAAGGCGAATGACGTGCAGTGCTTCCTGTGCCTCCTGAGATATGCACGTCACATATTCCAAGTGGTATAGTTTTATATTGATAAAGGAGGAGGGAAGTGGGCCTAGTTGCACATCATCAGGAGGCCCACCTGCTGAAACCAGAAAAGACATTAGTCTCCGGTTGACATCACAAGAGTAAATAGTAGTGTGGGACCCAAAGTGGATCGCAGCAGAACAATGCTGGACCCCTGAGTGGGTGAGTATTTGAACGGTGTACAACCTAGAATCTGGTAAGCAAGGATTTAAAAAAATAAATAAATGTGAGGGGAGGGTAACTGAAGTTCCTATTTAAGTTAGAGCAGTCATTCTCAACTAGGGCTTCTTCACTGGGTGCTAGGGGTCCTTGAGCT